GGGTTTTGGAGTCGGCGGGCATGTCCTTCGGGATTTCTCTCCGGCTGAGGAGCCTCTCTCACTACTCTTGGATCAAGCCACTGGGAAACTACTACAGCCGATTTGCTTCGATGCGCCATAACCCTTTGTGCACCTAGGTAGCGGCACAAACGCCTCCTGCCTTAATATCGCATCTCTATTTGGATACTTTTTGGTAGTGTAACAGCATCACAACGATGGCGGAAGATGACTTAGGATCTATGTTAAGCCGGATCCGAATCGTAGAGGATAAGGAAGGGATCCTCCCTTTGCATAAGGTTTGGAAGGAAGAAGATGCTAAAGTGGGAAAACCATGTTTGGTTGGGAAACAGCTCTTCCAAAGAAGGATTAACTTTAATGGTCTCCACAATACTCTAATAGTCTCACAAAACTCTACAGGATAAAAAATGTCATCCTTTTGAGTTCAGATATGATGAAGAAAGCATTAAGTAATAAAGTTGCAGGTATTAGAAACTCAAGGTATGCACTTCTGCATAAGATATGCAGTACATACAACCAGAAGTTCAGGCAATAGTCAAGCAATTGGTAGTTGAATAATTGATGAAATTAAGATGAAACTTACAACAATATTTGAGCTACACTTGACAATCTTCAGAACACAGTTTATGATGTCAGGCATTAACCTGTAAAAGGAAAACACATTACATGAAAAATAACTGAAATATATTAACTTAATCAAAGTATGTGATGAATCATTACTTATCAGAGTATTTCCGGTGCCTGGTTACAAGTCCACAGAAAATTAGCAAAACCCTTTTTCCAGTCTTCAACCTCAGCAAGTACCCATCATCTGAAGTAGAATCGCAGTCCAGACTCAATGAACCAAGAATGCGAATTACATTATGACAGAATGCAGGCAGAAGAGGGGCTAAAGCTGATGGCATATATGACCTCACCTATAAAACTAATAACAATTAAAAAAGAGAATCCAGAAATGAAAGGAAAATGAAATGAGCATGCAAGAGAAATTCAATGGATTATTCCGCTTAAGTATCAACAATAGCAACTATCAACACTAAGAGCATGTTGAAAGCTTATTACTCTAATGAATGAGATCATGTTAATTAAATAATCACACACTGATAAATTGATAATTACACAACTGAGTGAATATCTAGCAGATAAGTATTATTTGATGGATTGTTTAGTATTACTTACAGCAAAATACATGCATTTGCAAACAATGAGAATGATCTTCTCCGTTTCAACTTCAATTCTACCATGGGTCGCTACAGCCTGTTTCATGCAGCATAAAATCTGTTAGAATCGACGTTCACCAAAGTTTGTTGCTGAAGCTGAGGAATTAGGAAAGGCTAGACTTGAGAGAAGTGAAAGACAAGAACCTTTTCAATAAGATGATCAAATAATGCCAACAGAGGTACAATTATCTCTCCTGCAATTTGTTCAAGCTGTGGTGGTATGGGCTCATTGACAACTTTAGGATTCAAAAAGTACTGCCAGGAAAGAAGAATGAATTCAAAGCCACATAGAGAAGATAACAACCTTCAAAGTTCAAATATATGTTTGTATCCTCTAATCAGAACATGCCATTTACAGTCTCAATTGCCAAAATAGGGAAAATCAAGATTGCTGATTGCTTTTCTAGAGAGACTACCAGAAATATGTGCACAATGTTATACAGCAAGTACCTGAAATGGCCTAACCAGCGAATGAAGAACCACAAGGCAATTGATGGTATTCCATGCACCATTTGCATTACTACTTATGGAATTACTGTTCTGAATAGCACAGCGGAGTTCAGGCACAAGTTCTGGCCAAGAATTCTGCTTAACAAACTCAGCAGCAGCAATTATCCGGAACTGCCAACATATGGAAATGCTGCCATATATAAGCAACATGAACTAATACAAGAGAACCGAAAAAAATACCACCGTATACTGCATTGTTACTGAATCGAAGAAAAGATTTACCTATTTCAATTCTCCAATATTGGAGATCTCAATGAAGTCTTTTACAAATATTCTTAGAATTTTAATAACTTACTTCTTATTTTTAAGAGATTTCAAATTTCTTTATTTATAAAGCAATATAATTTTCCCACAAATTCATTTTGGATTAGAATCTTTGATATCCTTGTTGATTTGCTATCTGAGCTTATTGGATATATG